TTCCTCCTTAATAGTTTGAGAAATACAACATGAATGAACTTTGCTGAAATCCATCTTGTTCTTTGATTACCCATAGTTCGCCTAAGCTAAACACCACAAAAAATGGCAGCTTTGATTTCCGAGTCAGGATATAAGTAAGAATGAATTGTTTGTATTACAAATAATATTTTATTTTAGCTACAAACGAACTTTCTTTCTTAAAAAATGAAAAATATCTGTGTGTACAAAGACAAAATGGGACGTGTAAGGCTTCGGCGTGTGCAAGAAGTCACTTTGTTGTCTTTTCCTTTCTTACATTGTACGAAAAATACACTAATACGTAATCCTTCTTTGATACTTCGTACTTGGAAGAACATGAATAGTATAGGACTATAGGCATTAATCTATTCACGTTAATATTGCAACTAACCCCTAAAATGACCATTTATGGACGTTTATGCGGTGTAAACTACCCAGCCGTTTCTACACCTAAACTAAACAATCTATTCTCTAATTCTCCAGTCTCCACTACCCCTGTTTCATTTTGCACCTAAAACTAGAAGTTAATCAAGCGGTGAGAATTTTGTCATTGGTGATGAAGCCCAATGATGAAAGCGGCTTCAGGCCTTAAATAAATGATTTGATATCTTGTCCTCTTCGATATTACTCTGCCTCTTCGTCACTCTTATTCGATCATATCCGATAGCTTGGAGGTGCCATGGGACAAGGCCTAGGCAGAATTTAAAGCCACCGAAAATTATGAAATTCGAATCCGGTGGTTTCGCTATAAATGTATGCTCTCTTGTGTATTTTATAAATAAATGTTCATGTTTGGAGTGTTCTTGTCTTGTATGGCATAGTCTAATATAATCTAATTGGTCTGAGACTGAAAAGAGCTGATTCTGCTTCTGCTTCTTTTTTAAAGCAGAAGCAGAATCAGAATCAGTTTTCAAAAGCTGGTACCCCAACTTCTAAAAAAACTGATTCTGAGAGTAAATTAGAGCATCAGAAGTGCTTTTGGAATTTCACTCAAACACTCCAGCTTCCGCTCCTACTCCCTGAAAGAGCGTAATCAGATCCAAACACCCCATATATGCTGATTCTAACGACTCTAATCCATATACGCTGAAACTTTATCCTAAACCACTTCGTGATTTTTAAATATTTCGTCTCAATTTAGTAAAAATCATGTCATATTTTGTTCTGAATCTTCAATTCTTTTTTATCAATTCATCAAAATCGTGTCATTGTTTTGTCCGGTACACATCATAGTTGCGAATGAGTTACTATGATATCTAGATTCAATCTTAAAAGATACTCCTCCGTCCCATTGAACTAATAAAAAATTGTTTACGTGGTTGATTTTGAATTGATAAAGTAAAAATAAAGTAAGAATGATTTAGAGTCACATACACTTTATCAAATTTGGTATGAGACAATCTTAGTGGGATGGACCAGAAATGTAAAATGAGACAATCTTAGCAAGACGAGGGAAGTAAAAGAGTACTCTATGATGCCAAAGAAGTAGTATGCTTCAAAAGAGCTTATCAGAACTCTACATTTTTTTAACTAATAAATTATAATCGTAATTTCTAGATCTTTGTCATCATATTTATAAGAAACTCTCATTCTAATTACGTGAATGAGATGTTACAAGTTTATTAATTACTACGTATTCTATTTTGTATATTTCTGATGATAATTTGTCAGGTGGAAGTTGTGAAGGAAGACCTAAAAAATTTGGAGATGACCGAGCCAGCTCGTTTACGAGAAAAGATCAACAAGGAGTTTGCCGACGATAAATTGAAAACGGAAGTGTCGATTACACCAAGTGGACTGCAATAGTAAAACCTTATTCATTGCCCTATGTAGACTGTATATCTGCACGTACTACATAATTGTACCAAGTAATTGACCCTCCATATTTCGTAACATTTTGTTCATGTTTTCTACAATAAATTACTCCTTGTATAAGTTTTTTTTTAATATAAGTGACCGTCTTTTATATTAAAATCAATAAAAAGCACTATTTAATACACAGATAGTTATGACATATACTATTGTGAACCCTAGAATTAGACATAAAATCAGTTCTCTCATACAAAATAACCTGATTCGCTAGACACGAAACGAGCAATTTAAAACCTAAAACAACTGAGACTGAAACACTGCCTATCAAACGTACACGAGACATCCACATTTCCAAACCAAACCTACTGAAACTAAAATAAAAACAAGTACTACTAATAGAAGAATAAAATTGAAATAAAATTTTTCCAAACTCTTGGCACGAATGTGGTTCTGGAGGAACATGAGCTCTACCAATATCTACGCACTAGAGAAGAAAGCAGACAGAAATTCCTGACCAGACGAAGCTAGCCGGGACACAAACAGAATTCTTCGTATCGAGATAGACAAACCATTCAGGAGCACCAATGCCCGAGAAAAAACAACCATTAGCCATATATAGAACAAACTGAACACAATCAGAAGAGAAAAACAATTCTTGAATCATACTTCTACCAAGAATTTATGATCGTTCATATCACCATCGATTAGTTTGGATCATTGGATCACTCAACCCTCTATCGAGAACCACACAAAAGCTCACTGCCTAACAAAACCAGAAAGGTAGCCGATCGTATTCCTTAGAGCGCCAACTCCTCGTATAAGTTATAAACACGAGCTAATTTAACACAAATACTGCCTACTCAATAGAACTAATCCGTCACGTGTGGTTTAATTTGTAGGCTTGTAGAAGTCTTAGGTGCTGTTCTCATGGGAGGCGTTTTGATGCATATTCTAAAAAAGATGAATTGTCTTAACCAAGACTCAAAGTTAAAGTGGCTTAAATTGTTAAACAATAGTCCATAATTTATAGGGAGTATTACTTAAATATTTCTTAAATAAGACTAAGCACTACATTTCAACTTTTAATATATTAATTTCCCTCTAGTTCCCATATTTCTTAAATAAGACTAAGCATTACATTTCAACTTTTAATATTTTAATTTCCCTCTAGTAGATACCCAACATACCCAGGGAAGTCCGGTAGCGGTGGCAATTTGACGACAACGGTTGTCCAGCAACCTGCGGCGCTCTGGTGGCTGGTATCGGAGACAATGCAATGATCAAGTTTGAATTTAAAAAAAAAGTTTGACAATTTGAGAGAGAATTATTCAAATGACAAGAGTTTGAAAAGTTAAAAGATTAGCCATTTTTGTCAACAATAACTCATTAAGTGAGCTAATATGTTTGACCAACTTAAAAAATGAATGCACAAATATTAAATATACTTATATTCATATCATTGTCACTTCATCATATATTTCGTACATTGTACTAAAAAAAATATAACCTTAAATTTTCAACCTAATAACAAATTTCTAAGCAATATAAGCTATTGAGTTAGTTTCAAGAACTTTAATCTGTATTAAAATTGTCTAAAGTTATACATTAAAGTCAAATAGCTTACTTCAATTGACATCACACATGTGTAAGTTAAGGCAATCCTAAAAAAATTCTAGTCCCAATAGACTTGCAACAAATTTGGTAACCGTTCTCAGACAAATCCTAAATAATTTGATTTGTGCTAATAGGTAGGGAGTGTGAAATTCATGTTTTCTTACCATGGACTACCTATAAAGAAACATTCTCCTTTTCATGTCCTCAACTCCTACTCCTGAGTGATCGATGACATTTCAAACATATTTACATCATTTATAAGGCTATTCACATTAAAACTTAATTACAATGTTCATGTCACCTATCAGTCTATCACACTAAACGTATATATTCATTTATGTGAGAAAAAATAATCTGCACTACCAACATCCAAAATAAGGCAACTGGTAATAAATACGAAGTACTATACGATTAGTATACTACGTATATCTTTCTTCCGCAAATTTGATTTTACACCCTTATAAATGATTTCAACATTGATCTTCTTAAACCAAATCTAAACAAGTGAGTAGAAAATTTTCAGACCATGCACTTATAACCCTCGTTCACGTGTTGTTTAATGTCTAATAGTAATTTTTATGTTAACATTCATAGACATTGGTAGAGCTCGTTCTGAGAATCACTTTTGTGTTATGAAAAGTTTTTGTGGAAAGATTTTATTTCAAATTCATTCTTCCATTAGCAGTACTTGTTTTTATTTTAGTTTGAGTATGTTTGATTTGAAAATTTGACTTTTGGAGTACGTTTGACAGACAATATTTTGGTCCCAATTGTTTTAGACTTTTAATTGCATGTTTCGGGTCCAAGTCTATTCACAGAGCTTACAATCGGATCTGTCATAACTGTCTCGATCTAGATGTTATCTTGTATCTTATCTCGATTTTAATATTAAAAAATGATCCTTTATTTTCATAAAAAAAATCTACGGAACCAACACTAACTAATCGGATTCTAAATTCATCAGAATTCTTCAAAAGCAATTCACACCAGCGGGAGTCTAAGGATATTTTTACTTGGACTGAAATTTGTTGGTCAGGTGTGGCCTGACCCGATCTGGTCTGTTTAAGTCTGGTATAATCCGATCTAGTCTGTTTAAGTGTGATCTGGTTTGGTCTGATCTGTTTATGTTTAATCTAGTCTAGTCTGATTTGTTTAAACCTGGTCTGTTCTAGTCTGAGACTGAAATCAATTCAAGTAAAAACGTCCTAACTTGCATGAGGCAATTGGGATTGTGGAGCTACATGCCATACCCTACTTGGACACTTTCGCTCTATTTCTTCTTTAAATATATAATTGTATGCAAGCCTTTTCAATATGTATTATCCTTATTAAATACTCTATACTACGTATTACATATTTCTTTTTTCCTTTTTATTATCACACTATATATTTCTTAGTACTCACTATTATTATTATTATTATTATTACTAGTATTATTATTATTATTTGAAGTTTATTTTAACATGATAATAATGACAACCATCATTTTATTCACCAACAACTCAAAGTAAAGAAATAAATAAGTCAATAACTTATACTTTATAGGGAAAACTGTCAAATAAGTCCATCTATTTTCACCAAAAAGTCAATTAAGTCCATGCACTTTAAAATGAATCAATCAAGTCCACAAACTGTTAAAAATCCATCAAATTGGCTATTTACTCGGTAATCATCCGGTAACCCTTCTCTGGCTTACATGGAAGTCTAATGGACTCTTTTAGGATGTTTTTGCTTGGACTGTAATTTGCCCCAGACCAGTCCAGACCAAACCAGTTCAGACCAGACCAGACTTGGATAGTTATAAAAATACAAAGAAACCAGACCTTACCAGACCAGACCAGACCAGATCAGACCAGACCAGACCAGCAAATTACAGTCCAAGTAAAAACATCCTTACTGTTCATATTTTTAATTTTTCATTTTATTTTCCTTTTCTTTTTTCATTCTCTCTTTCTTCTTCACTCGTTCATTTTCTTCTCCTGCTTCGACGCAAACTACTCCTGAAATTCGTTTCTTCCTAAATCCAGACTCTATTTCTTTTGAAAGGCAGCGGGCGGCTGAGGTTGACAAAGATGAGGGAGACGGGCTGAAGGCGACGATAGTTGGGGATGATGTGGGAGACGGACGGCGGTTGGAGGCTGTTGGCGGGTTGAGGAAGATGAAGGCGATGGGCAGAGGTGGTTGGGGAATTTGCGGACGAAGGGCGGTCGGCGACACAGATCGAGCTGTAGTTGTGGGCGACAGGCGGCGGAGGCCAGAGAAGTGGGCGGTGGGTGATTGGCGGCGGATGGGGAAGTTTTGGGCGCCGGCCGCTGCGGAACAAAAATCATGCAAGAAGTGTGCTACGACCGACGACGATTGGTACCCTTGTATGAAAGAAAGAGAACCGGAAAGAATGGATGAAAAATTGAAAGAAAGAAATTAAGGAAGAACAGAAGAACTGTGCCGGTCGAATGCAAAGTGCAAACCCAGGGGAAGAAGAAGCTAACAGGGAGAGAAAAAGGATAGGAAAAAAACAAACGAGAAAACAAAAAATTATAAATTATCCCACGTGGGCGTCCAAGTGAGCTTTAACCGGCATTACCTCCATTCAACCGGCTGAAGTGCTAATTTGGTCATTTTTCAATAGTTCGTGGACTTGATTGATTTATTTTATAGTCCGTGGACTCAATTGACTGTTAAATAAAAGTAGATGGACTTATTTGACCTATTTTATAAGATATAAATTTTATTTTAAAAAATTGATATGAATTAAAAGTTATATATGGAATTATTCATGCGAAATCACAATTTAAATAAACAAGAACTTTCATTTTTACCAATATTTGTTTGTATTATTTAGAAAATATTAGATATTGTTGGATTATATAATTACAATGAATTACAATAAACAATTAAAAAACATATAAATCCAATATGGAATATTATAACTGTGCATAAATTATAAACGAAATTCTGAATGACCACTTTATTAAGCCTTGATAAATATATATTGATGACCAATTTTTCGGTATTGATAAGAAGTTTAATCATTATTCGGATAATGATCAAATACTCATAAAACTTCCTCATCAAATCGCCCAAAATGCCTACTACATACAACACTTAACAACTTCCACCAACACACCCTAAACTAAATGCATTTGCCACATACCTTTTAATTGCAACCTATAACAGCCTATTTATGGGCGTTGTTATGTTGGGGTATCACGTAGGGGTGATAATCGAATAAGTTCACTTTCCGAATTGATTTTCTCCCCTATGCCTCTGTTACAAGAAATTCAATCTAGGATAATTTTTAAGGACACTCTAGAACTTTGGCACAAGAACTGGAGTCAAACTAGTTGAGTATATGGATTGTTATCTTAATTTGAATGCCAAAAGTGATGAAAATTCGTTGGATATGATTCCTACTCTTCCTCTGTACAAAATATGGTGGTATACATCCATATTAACCGTCCTAGGCAGTTGCAACACGTTTGAGAGACCGCGGCAGTTTTTGGAAAACTGCTAGAAACTGCCCAACCGTTCTAGAACTTGGTTTAGAACCATAGAGCTGGTCTACTGAAAGTTATACCTCGAGTTTTACCTCGAGTTCCACTAATGTAGACACTTTGGAATTAAACTAGTTGTTATATACAAGTGTGCATTCCACACCTACTAACTTGTATTAGATCATAGTTATAATTCCCATTAGTACTCATGTCATTTCCAATTACACAAAACGGCCGGTGACACTATAATCACCAACAATCCTCCCCCATTTTAGTGTAACCCATGAAATGACATAACAAAGCTTACACACTAAAACTTGTACATAAATGGAAATGTCGATACGATTGAATTTCCATCTTAGTATTTTACACATTCAAAATATTCGAGAGTCAGGGTGTCATACGGATTGAACCCTTCAACCCATTTGAATACCTCAAGATAAAATACATACAAGTTTCTATACTTAACTATAATACAAACTTGGCACAATTATAAAGCCTTGTGTCCTAATCCCATTCATGACCGTATAAAAGCCATGTCCCAAGCTTTTTAAAGCGCGGCTACACTTCACGATCATATAGGTAATTCCTTTGCTCATGTACATGCTTACATTTTATCAAAGGAATTATTAAGAAATAAATTCAGCCTCCCTACTATAGGTCCGAACACACACCTTGGGATGATTTTCATTGTGTGTTCCAATCCATTAAGTGTGAGCTTTCCGCATTGAATTCGGCCTCTAACGTTGTTTTTTATAAAGAAAACGAGGTTTATTAATGGTAATGAAAGAAGTTACAAGAAAGAGAGAGAAAAAGAAAGAAAACAACAACAAAAGGAGAAATAGAAAAAGAAAACCCAACCCGAGGTACAAAATAATCCCTCCTAAGATAACTCCTAAGCTAGTCTCTGTTTAGTAATCAACATTCCACCCGTGTTTGTTATCTAGTTCGCATAAGATGAGACCACTGATTCTTTTTCCTATAAATCTTAATCCGTGTATTTAGATTCTCAGTAGGCAAGCAGTTTTCTCTTATGACCAACAAAGCTTTGTTGCAAATATTCTGATTCGTATCAGAATCCCATAGATCTTCCACCGAAGTAATAGGAGCCCTCTTTTCGCTTTCCGAAGCGTGACCAAGAAAATCATCCCCCGAATATGTGTAGAACTGCTCGCCAAAATCATCCTCACAATCAAAACCTTGAGTACGGTCTCCTGAAATAAAATTCCTCGAAATTGTGTTTTCACACCCAACAACTTTTTTTCCGTGAGCGGGTTTCTTATCAAAACTGTCTCGGTTATTGAAAGAAGAGGCAACAATTCTTTCAAATTCTTTGATCAAAAAATGAGAAAGTGATTCCACCCCTTGTGACATAGTGATCTGAAAGAAATCTTTAATGTTATCCAAAGAAGAGTCAATTCCAGGTATAAGCTTAGAGTTATTAGCCCCAATAGAGTCCAACACCAGAGTTTTCTCAAAGGAAGAATAGTCAATATCAACTTGTAATAGGGTTCCCGAAATTGAAAATTCATTCGGATGGGAGTGATCGTTATCCAAGGTGGCATCCAAGGTGACAGGATCCCACTCAAAGTTAGAGCATTTACTTGAAAAAACCTCACAAGAAATCTGATCAGGCACCAAAGATGGCGGCTTAGGTGTGTTATCTATTAACAAAGCAATTGCTCTTATGATTCCCGCAAGAAAAAGATTAATCCCCTTTCCATTTCTTCCCTCTGGTATAAACAAAGAGTCACAATTCTTCTCAATGATGCGGAAGAAACCGCTAAAGAAATTAGCATCATGAAGTATACTAAGAGAATTCTTGAAGTCAAATCTAGTGCAAGACCAATTATCAGATAATAGCTTGGGAATGGAATCTTTCAGCCAAGAAATTCTTTCGAGATCAAGATCAATAGAAGACTCTATTCCAAATTTTGATTCGGATATACGAATTGTATTGCAATCCACCATATAGAAATCAAAATATTTACTCTCAATAGTAATTTTAAACCCATGTAAGTGACTTAAATATTGTTCTGATCTCTGTCGAGAAGGATCAGTTTGATACTTAAAACCTCCCCTAAGCTTATTCCACCGTTTCTTCTCATAATTGGGATAAGTATCATAACTTGAACCTGAAATTCTGCCACCAGCTCCCTTCAAATAGTATGCCCCGTTCCTAAGCTCTGAATCTGTCCAGTACCTTGATCCTAACCGTGTTGATTGCTGCTTTGGGAGCCCCTTGTTGCCTATTTGTTGTCTGTTTGCTGAAGTAATCCTCCAAGGGTAAAATCCTTTGCCTTTCCGTCTCTCACCAAGGCGAGGGTCTCTCAGGCGCTGGAAGTACGCAGACCGCCGTATGATTCCGCCGGCGACGGGTACGAATTGTTGGTGACCCCGTCTTGAAGCAAATGGACACTCCGTCCTTGAGATCTCATGATCCCTGAGTTCTCTTCATTTGGGCGGACTGGCCATGTTCTGAAATCAAAGACCCATCGCTGGGGAGGCCATCCTAGAAGCTGAGGTGTTGGCATTTTTCAAGTCCTGCCGATGCAGGGAGGATGGATCTCGTCTGGTCGCGGTCGGGATCTGGCAATTGCTTTCGTTGAATGGCAGATTGCATCTTGGTCGAGATTTAGGGTGCACAGTGTGTTGGTCTTCCCCTGGTAGAGAAAAAGTGAAAGACCCGAAATGGATTACAGGAGTATCATCCATCTGGTTCCCTGCTACCACGCCAGCTAGGGTGCCGGACTCCCCCGATATCGCCAGAGCGTCCCCAATCTTAGCCTCTCTCATCCAGCCTCGAACGTTGTATTAGACGGGAATTGGGTGTCTCACCATTAAGGATTAAATGGACTTTAAACCCATCCCTATAAACGACTTGTGCACTAAGTCCCGGGCCATACTTTTGGTCAAGTGGTCCGCCAAGTTATGTTGTGAATTGTGATCTTACAAATTCCACCGAAATTACACCATTCATGATTAGTTCCCTAATCATAATATGTCTAACACCCAAGTGTCTAGACTTGCCGTTATAAACATGACTATATGTCTTTGCCAAAGTGGCAGCACTATCACAATGGATAAAAATAGGTGCAATTGGTTTCCTCCACAATGGAATCTCAAAAATTAAATTTTTTAGTCACTCCGCCTCTTTACCGGCTGTAGCCAACGCAACAAACTCAGATTCCATTGTTGAACTTGTGATACAAGTTTGCTTCTTGGAAGCCCAAGAAATGGCACCTCCCCCAAGCAAGAATACCCAACCACTTGTAGACGAATGATCCTCTTCATTAGATATCCAACTTGCATCCGAATATCCCTCTAATACCGAGGGATACTCAAAGTAACACAAACCATAATCCATGGTTCCCTTGAAATACTTGAACACTCTCTTCATTGCTTGCCAATGTTGAGTACTAGGATTACTAGTAAACCGGCTCAACCTACCCACGACATAAGCAATATCCGGCCGAGTACTTGTCATGGCATACATCAAACTACCAATGACTTGAGAGTACTCAAGTTGTGATACCGCCTTTCCTTTATTAGGCATCAACCTCACACTAGGATCCAGGGAGTACGAATAGACGGGTGAACAATCACTATAATTAAATCTTTTGAGAATATTCTCAACATAGTGAGCTTGCGTCAAAGCAATCCCTTTGTTTACCCGTTTAATCCTTATACAAGGGATCACATCCGCCTCTCCCATGTCTTTCATGGAAAACCTTGATGATAACAACTTTTTGGTTTCATCAACCTGATTTCGGTCTGTTCCAAAAATCAGCATGTCATCAACATAAAGACATATGATCACACCCGCCCTTAATGCATCAAATCGGCTATAAACAAACTTGTTCCGAATATTTGGAACCCTATTAAAAATAGCAAGCCATACGTGAGCATAGCTTCTCCCCAAAATCCTTCACTCAAACTCGAGTAGGGAGAATGAAATTAACCATTTCCTTTAACACTCGATTTTTCCGTTCAACCACACCATTTTGTTGTGGTGTATACGGAGCCGTGGTCTCATGAATGATTCCAACATATTACTCAATGATACTCAATTTTATTACTCAATTACAATTCAACCTCAGTTTTATAGACTTTAAATTTCCCTAAAGCTTCATCCTTAGTGTGCAATAAATACACATAACAAAACCGAGTTGAATCATCAATAAAAGTAACAACATACTTTTTATTGCCAAAAAAAGGAGTTGAGTGAAACTCACATAGATCACTATGTAATAGATCCAAAATAGCTGAATTCCTTTCAACATTAGGAAACGGTTGTTTTGTGATCTTAGTAAGCATGCAATTCCTACACTTATCATCATTTATATAAAAAGCAGAAATTAAACCATCCTTAGACATTTCATGCATTTTTCTAAAATTAACATGAGCTAATCTAGCATACCAAATCACACAATCATTAATGGAAGATGCCACAACATTTAAACGATACATGTGATTTGATAAATATCCAAAACCAACAAACACACCACACTTGGACAGAATATATTTATCGGATTCAATCACTTGTTTGAACCCTAAATTATTCAACATACTTCCCGAAACAAGATTCTTTCGGACCTTCGGTACATACAAAACATGAAACAACGTAATTGTTTTTCCAGAAGTAAATTCTAAAACAGCTACACCCTTTCCCAAGATTGGCGCCATTGACTCGTCTCCCATGCTTAAGAAGGAAATGACCTCCACTGGTTCTAGGTCTTCAAATCATCCTTTATCCTTACACACATGGCTCGTAGCCCCCAAGTCCAACCACCATGCACAGTCATCATCCTGTACATAAAAAGATTCGGGAATGAGTGATACATAATTCTGGACAGAATTATCAAAGTTAGTCAGGAACTGACCTCCTTTCCGTGGAACCAGGTCCTTACTGTTTGAAAGGGTTTGGAAATAGGAAAGGACCATCGGAAAGAAATTCAAGTGGAATCCCGTGCTTTCGGGTGATTGCTCCACTGTCACTCGTTCCAGCACCATCCTTGTTCAGTTTCACACGACAATCACGCTTGACATGTCCAACCTTTTGACACTTCCAACAAACCAAACCTTTCGGTTTCTTGTTGGGTTTGTTATGGTCTTCATACTTGCGCTTTTTGCCTTTCCCCTTATCTTTCGGGTTAGATTTATTATCCTCAACCAAGTGAACACGAGGTTGTCCAGATTCAACTTCAACCATAATTTGGTCATTCTCTTGCACACGAAGAGACTCCTCAATGCGCAAGTGACTCCCAGTTGAACCAATGACAATTCCTCATCTTGATGTTTTAAAGAACGTTTAAAATCTTTCCAAGAGGATTGTAGTTTGTCAATTATACTCGATATGACATAGGATTCATCAACACCTATCTTGTGGAGTTTAAATTGACTAAGAACACGAAGGAGTTCATTGTATTGTTCCATAACCGGCCTTGAGTCAACCATTTTATAATTATTAAATTAAAATCACTCACCAAGAACTTCTTACTAGAAGCATCCTCGGCGATGTATTTTGACTCAATAGAATTCCACAATTCCTTCGCACTCTCAACGTTTTGGTAAATATCAAATAACGCATCGGACATACCGTTAAGAATGTGGCCTCTACATATGTAGTCATCGTTCTCCCACTTGTTACGCCTCCTAGTTTGTTCCAAAGTCGCATCCTCCATCACGTCCGGCATTAGAGTGCTCAACACGTACACAACCTTCAAAGTTGTGAGAAGAAAGTGCATCTTCTTCTGCCATCTACAGAAATCATTCCCTTGAAACTTGTCCAATTTGTTGAACCTCGAAGTCATCTCTTCCACGGTACTCATGATTATCACAAAGAAAATTTCAATTCGATTGTTAGGGTATCACGTAGGGGGTGATAATCGAGTCCTTGGATTGCTTAAGGATCGTGTACGTTCACTTTCCGAATTGATATTTCTCCCCTATGTCTGGGTTACAAGAAATTCAGTTTAGGATAATTCTTAAGAACGCTCTAGAACTTAGGCACAAGAACTAGAGTCAAACTAGTTGAGTATATGAATTGTTATCTTAATTTGAATGTCAAAAGTGATGAAGATTCGTTGGATATGATTCCTACTCTTCCTCTGTATGAAATATGGTGGTATACATCCATATTAATCGTCCAAGGCAGTTGCAACACGTTTGAGAAACCGCAGCAGTTATTGGAAATTGCTGGAAACTGCCCAAACGTTCTAGAACTCGGTCTAGAACCACAGAGCTAGTCTACTGAAAGGTATACCTCGAGTTCTACTTCGAGTTCCACTAATGTAGACAATTTGGAATTAAATTAGTTCTTATATACAAGTGTGCACTCCACACCTACTATCTTGTACTAGATCATAGTTCTAATTCCGATTGGCACTCATGTCATTTCCAATTACACAAAATGAACGGTGACACTAAAATCACCAACATGTTTTGTATAAAGAAAAGAGAAAATAAAAGAGGCGGGAATAAGTAACATAATGAGATGACAGGTTGCAAAAATACATTTAGTGATTTAATAGTTGGCCGTAGCGGTTATTAGGTAAGGTCCTCAAAACGCTAACCTCACATTGCTACTTTTTGCAGTGATTTTATTTCACCAATTCCAACAAAATTGCTATAGTCGAACAACTATATACTAAACAACAAGGATCAACATTTGCACTGATTGAAAACACCAAAAAATGATCAAACCACTACTTTTTGTTTGAAATATGATTTCCCAAATGCCCCTTTAATTACTTACTCCGTAGTATATCATGTCGAGTAGTATGTTTTTTTTTTGCCAAAGCAATCCTACATATTTGCTAGTCATTACCTATTTATTTTACCAAGAGCATTGGTCCAAAATCAATTTTTAATGTCACCGCAACATTCGCAATCAAATGTAACGAGCTTTCCTGTTGCCACATCCAATGAACGTTTTTTTAAACTAATTGCTTCAACTTTAAAAAAGTGATTTTTTAAAGTGATTTTGGGAAAAATGATTAATAGTAAAAATTGATAGTGTTTGAGAAAAAAGTGATTCTAGAAAAGTAAAAATTGGTAGTATTTGGTAAAATAAGTACTTTTTGTGTAATAGAAAAAGTGAGAAGCAGTTTAAAGCACTCTTCTACCTGCTTCCAGCTTTTAACTTTTAAGTGATTAATTAAAGCAGAAGCTGTCATTTGAAAACACTTTATTCAACTTTTTTTAAGTCAAAAGATGAAAAACGCTTTTTTTAAACAAACTCAAACACTCCTTTAAACTTTTAGAATTGATAACTTCTATAATTATGTCACAAGTCTAATATACTTACTTTTTGACCTAACTCAATTATTTGGACCTTCCATGTATCCACCTCAAACTTTGGGAATATACGAGTCATCTGGGACCACATCGATATGTGGTTTTTTTACCATTGGTAACACTAACATCTTCAGAATTACATGCTCCGTCTTAAATATAGTAAGAGAGTGTTTGCAATTGTTTCAACTTTAAAAAAGTGATTTTTTAAAGTGATTTTGGGAAAAGTGATTAATAGTAAAAGTTGGTAGTGTTTGAGAAAAAAGTGATTCTGAAAAAGTAAAAGTTAGTAGTGTTTGGTAAAATAAGTACTTTTTGTGTAATAGAAAAAGTGAGAAGCAGTTTAAAGCACCCTTCTACCTGCTTCCAGCTTTTAACTTTTAAGTGATTAATTTAAGCAGAAGCTGTCATTTGAAAACACTCTTTTCAACTTTTTTTAAGCAAAAAGCTGAAAAGTGTTTTTTAAGCAACCCCAAACACTCCTTAATTAAACTAGTGGCATTATAGAAGAGTAGCAAGCACTTATTCATGAATCATGAGTGAGTCACTATATACCTGATCATGATATACCGTCAAATACATATAGAGCAAATTGGGAAGAGTCGGTTTCATCTTCTCCATGATTAGTCCTCTGATCTCTACCCATAATACCTCGATTATTAAACAAGTTAACCATTTTTAATCCTCACATATTCTTGTGTTCCACAAATTCAAATTACTTACTACCTTAGTCCTCTAACATTGAGACGGAAGAAAGTGAAATTATGTAGTTGATAATGAATTAATAAAGTGAAAATAAATTAAGAATTAATTTAAACCATACAACTATTACTAAATACTTCATCCGTTCTTAAATAAATGCAACGAACAACATTTCACATTTGACGAGACACAACTTTGACTATTAATATATATAAATTTATATTAGTAAAAAAATTAAAAAAAATTAGATATTGAAAATTTATAATGAGGCAAATTTAACAATATTTTTTCTATAAAATTATATTCATACATTAATAAATAAAACATAGTTAAAGTAGAACGTGTGAATAGTGTAAAATTTCATATGTTGCATTTATTTAAAAACGGAGATAGTTTGATGTAAAACAATTTTAGTAAGACAAAAGAAAGAATGAAAGTGAGACTAATTTTCTTCTTTCCACGTACTAATGATGGATTTTACTCCACATGATGTAAACTACAAAGAATAATTTTTTTTTTTACAAAATATAATTTGTTTGTATCTATAAATCATGACATGGCAACCCAGGAGCAATCGCCCGGGACCACACAATAATGCAATGATAAGCTCCATCCCAAACAAGATAAATCTGGTAGACTGGGAATTTTAAAATATTGGTTAGTAAGTAGAAACCAACTTCACTCTCAGTGAAAGGGATATTTATTTCTATTTTCAATATTTATATATATTTAAATATTTCGTACTGTATATTCTATTCATTACATTGTTCAGGCAACAAGAGGATCACGTTAGCTAAATCATACGTAGTAAAAAAGAAGAGAAAAAAAATCATAAACTGACAAATTAACTAATCAAGCGTTTGGAATTTGCGTGGTGTTTTTTGCCTTTCATCTGTTCATCACTAATGAAACATTTTTTACTGTGGTAAATGCCCAAGCGAGCTGGCCCCACACCCTAACCGGGTGAAATCATACCGGGGGAGAGCAGGTAGAACTTTGGGGGTCCCACATCGCCGGTATCAGGAACTTTCTCCCGTTCACTCCATACGCATTGAAGCTCGCGCCCGTGGATTTATCTACCAAAACCTGCCCCGGGTAACCCGAGTAAGCGCCCGACCCGAATATCCCCGTGCAGGCGGACACCGCCTCCAGCGGCATCGCGGCGACCCCCTCGAAATAGCCGTTTTTGTACGGATTCGTCACAGCTCCGGCCAAAACGGTGGCTAAGTTGATGATCATCCCGTCAACTCCGACGTCTCCGTTCGGCGGAATGAGCGGCGGCGATTGCGGCCCGTAAATCGGCTGATGGAACGGCCAGGCGCAATAACCCGGGCACTGGCTCTCCGAGTTGCCCACCCATGCGTATACCGCCCGAGATTTCCCGGCAGACGACCCGTGAGTCCCGCACCGGTTAGAACAGAAGCCGTCGACGTAAACGTCCGTCGCCGTCAGGATAAGGTTAACGGTTCCGGTGGAGTTCCCGCCCCAGGAAGCTATGTAAGGGAGCTGGTCGTTTTTAATCGACTTCCCCTGCGAGCAATTTTCGTCGAAGATTTGTTTCCCGACGGCAATATTTGAGGAGCCGCCGCCTCCGTATTTGCCCGTGATTTTCCACCAAGACGCGGCGGAAGGCGAATTGGATTTCCAGGAGTTCAAGGACGTGAGGAAATCGACGATTGTGGACCGCTGCGCCGGTGAAAATTTCCCGTACCAGATGAGATTAACGGTGACGGTGCCCTTGAGAAGGACGCCGTTGTGGTAATTCAAAACGGTGGGCGGCTCCTGAACCAGGCGGGCGGATGACGTATGCAGCCCGGCGGCGAAGAGGCAGAGGAGGAGGGTGGCGGGAAGGGTAATAAAGTAATTTCCAGTCATGGTGAGAGAAGAACGGAATTGAAAGGGTGAAGAAGAAGGAATTATGAGGGAAACTGTTTGAAGGATTGAGAGCAGGGCACGATTTTATAGGAGGGAGGAAATGGAAATGGGAAGACGTGTCAGCATCAATCCGTCCGCGTGGATGCATGGTGGTGGGGACAGTTTTTGCCAGGCTGGACGCCTTTGCTGACGTGGTGTAGGCTTTGGCAAAGATAAGAAAACGCGCTGACTGTGGTTGTTCGAACGTCGGTTTCGGCTTCCTGGGGTTTGCCATCGTCCGTACGTTTATTAATTTTATTACTTCTTCATTTATTGTTCTTCGTGATTAAATACGGAGTAATTAATTGGACGTCTACGTTAAATTTCTAAAGAGGGAATTATTCCAAACGTTTTTAATTCATCTCTATGATCCAACAGATAGGTAAGGTACTCAAGTGTCCACCATAAATCTCTGCAATTAAAGTTATTAATTGACCATTCAAGGTATCAAAAATGTCATAAATTTTGAATTCCATATTAGAGTAAACTTGTGTAGTTGTGTTGTGTTCATTTATCAATGGTAGATGATGTGTTCCAACGGGTTGAATCCTCAATTCTAAGGATTCTCACTCCCTGATCCAACAAGGCATTTGAGTTGATTAAGTTATGGTGAATCAGTTAGCTCAATGATGATAAACTTGTTACCGTGCGCACTAGAAGTCTAGCCCTGCACGCAAGAGTTGTAATCACCCTACAATCGCTGCGAATTTTCTCCCCACTCAAACTACTAAACTACCGGTTCCGGTTATCAATGGTAGAAGAAAAAATATTGATTGCGAATTCTTTTGTGTGACGCAGGCATTCAATCTTCGAGTGAAGGTATCAATGGTCGGTTCCTCTCTCTTGAACCGCCGTAATCAATATTTAGACAATTTACACTCAAATAACCTTCAAATCTTTGATAAATTAGTAATTAATTTATCCCCCATGCATGAGTTAAACGTATTCTTAAGGAGATGTGTGTAATGAAAAGACTAATACGGAGTATTAGAATAATTAATGTAAATTCCTGCAGCTCTATTAGAGTACAAGTGCACCTGCATAAGTAGTGTTCGTCCTTCACATCGTATATCGTTCAAGCGCGTAGCTCAACTGGTAGCTAGATAGGAGGTGCAACAAGAGGTAAGTCTCGGATTCGAATCCCAATAACTGCAATGAGAGATTACTACCCTTAAATACATAGAGTTTCTGCAAGTAACAAGGTCAGAACATCACTCTCTATCTAAGAGCTAAAATACTATCCCATCGGTCTTAGAGCTAAACCCAGCCGGTACGATTCCATCTTCAAATGAGACGGTATCATGTCATACCAATATCAAACAATGCTACTTTTTCCAGGTGTTCAAGGGAAAATTAAAGTTTGGCCATCCTCCATCCCAAATTGATTTGCAAAGTCAATTTTTTTTTGGTAAAATAGTTTCTTTTTTATTAACGGTAAAATAGTTACTTTTTATTCACTTAATTAGGATATCACTATTTAATAATATTCTAAATTGGCTTGTAAAAAAGTATATTCTATTTTGGAATTTTCAATTTTAAAGAGATTTTGATATGGTTTCTAAATATGAAAGTTTTAATCATTAAAAAAGGTATTAATTATTAATAGGAGGACATAGCATTAATATTGGTTGACCAATAATGGCGACTTTGTTAATCAACTTGGGCTGGATGGAGTAATTACTCGTAATAAATTTCAGATAAACTATCGTAGTACAAATTTAAATAATTAAACCATATTTCAATCAGGTTTGATTCGGTACCGGTTCTCATTTTATGAGAACCCGTCATGGCATTGTTCAGAACCGGTACATACGAGACAAAAAAATTTGCGATCCATTTCAAATCCCATTTATCGGTGTGGTATCATATCCAACTGGTTCGGTACCACGCTCGTTCGGTACTTTTGCTCACTCCTAGAAATCATGATGTAAAGTGATTACCTTATACTGCATATTTTTTAGGGCGACATAGTACATTCATAAGCATATATTGTTAACAAAAAGTTTAACAATTATTCTGGTTCATTAATACTCCGTAGCTAGTTGTAAGGGAAAACCATAATGATTGAATATGAATACAATAAAGTAATTTTATAATTGAATCTTAAACTTACTGTTAATAAACCATAATTATTGAATCGTATCCTAAATTAATTGAAATTGAAATGAATGAATACTAACACATACTCGTACTACGTAATAAATTTAAAAAAGTTAGAACAAACAGTCATCTGATCTAAACTTTTTGCCGGAGTCCTCGATCGATCAAGGGTTTGTTCATGGCTTAAACTTTGCCGGCTCAAACGTAACTTGTTAAGCATTAATATTACACCAACATTTTTTTTATCTCTTTAAGATGCAAAATTGAGATAAGATATCAATTGAGAGCAATAATTCGCTTTAGTATGGGTTTCGGGCCTAATTGTACTATCTACTAAGAATAACCAAATACGACTCTACCAAACTAGAACAATATGGCAATCAAACTTAAAGACTTCTGCCACTGCTTAGAGATACCAGTTAAGAATAACAACACAACAATTCTTCTTATACGGTCTCCACACTTTACTGTTTACACTCTTGTACACATTGTTTATGAAGATTTTTTTCTGTCGCAGAAAAAACGTGTTATCTATATAGACAAAACACGTTTTGTCTGGCATATTTTTTATCTTATCCATCGTGATCTGGGAGATGTCTGTTATGTTCTCATTTTATAAAGTCAAAGTTAGGTCAAAGCTATTTAAGTCTGATCTGGTTGTATATGATGGATCTAAGACAAAAATATATTCAATTAAAACTATATGGTTAAACCTAAACCATCTCCCTATTATTATAAATCCAATTTCGTAAGATGTACGGAATATATTGTACGAGTAAGTACGTAGGCCATAAAAATCAATAGCACCGGAGTGCTTTTGTTCGTCACTTCAATTCGCCCATGACCTAATGAATGCTTAATATTGTAGTTGTCCATCACAATATTATTTCTAATCACATTATTACAATTACAATTGGGATGACTATGAAATACTCGTTGAGTCGTTTCCTTTATGCTCTTAAACTTGTTTAAGTACGATGTTCCACTTGTTTTTGTACTCGATCGAAGACATTACAAAAATTGGTCATTATATAATAAATGTTGTGTGTACTAGTATACGTAGTATTACATTATACATACTATGACCTCCTTTAAAATATCTTATTGGTTCATTCTTTTGTGTCCTCTGAGTCTTCAAAAGACAAGAACAGCTTTATATTTACCTAAAATAAAGAAAATTTTGGCAATTAAAAATATCTTTGTAAATCATAGTTTTATGGGCCGGGGTAAAAAGAATGAGATTTTTTCTCTTTTATATGTGATTTTTAGTATGAGATTATGTCATATCAAATTAGACTTAAATAAATATTAGAATTTTGAGTCCTATTAAGTGAAAACATCCTTTATACGCTACCTACATTGGCTATGGATTGGAAAAAGTTATTCCCAACCCGCACGAGTAGCTCAGTTGGCTGAGTGAGAGAAAGTTGAAGGAATGACCAAGGATCGAAACCCGCAGCGATCGTGTGGAGGTTAAAACTCATGCGTTTTAGTGCTGGACCTCTGGTGCACACGAGTACAAGATATATCCTCATTGGGCCAACTGAGTCACCGTGAGTTACAACCTTTCAAAAGTCTTCTCAGATTGGGGCATGGAAGGTCTTGGGGTTTGGGATTCGACCTTTTTAAGGAAGAATGGAAAAAGTTATTCCCAAATTAAAGGCATGGTGTATTCCGCATAAAATGTAGAAAAAATTATACTCCATAGTACATTCATCCCATTTTGAGCCCGTTTGGTGACCTATTTTTTTGGCTTATCAGTCTTATCAGCCAGCTTTTTCACCAAACACGTAACTTCTGATTTCACACGCTGAATTGTGTAATAAGCAGAAAAAGTAAGGTTGGAGTTACTTTTCTGGCTGTATTGACTGAAGTTACTGTAGAGGATCATTTTTGCTATTTTTTCATATAATTTTTTATTTTATTTATTAATAACAAATATTTTAAATATTTTTTTGCATGAATAAGCAGAATCAGCCAATACAGCCACTTCAGCCAGAACTTCATAAATTTCAGCAGAATCAGCCAATACAGCCAATTTTAGTGTTACCAAATGGGCTCTTTATGTGTCTCTTTTGATTTTAGCATAATTTTTTATGAAGTGGTTGAAAAGATAAAAGTTGTGGTTGAAATTTGAGTATAGTAAAGTGAAATGTTGTGAACCATGCATTTCTTTTCAAAAAGGGAAATGTGACACTTATTTTGGGACATCCAAAAAAGAAAGTAAGATAGATAAAATGAGAGGGAGGGAGTGTTGTGTATCTCTTTATCCGTTAATGGGTGGGGTAGACAATAAATATTTTTCTCCAAGCATATTATCCAGGAGGATGGGTAAAGTGGTACACTGGTACTGGCAAGTAAACAAGTTTTATTTTAACTATCAAAAGAAAGTGGAGATCGAGTAAGACGTAGAAAGCCTTTTTGAGAGTCATGGTGTGTCTCCACTAGTCAATGCCAGCAAGAAATGGATATATGGACGGCGCTTCGAAATGTCATCCAGTTCATACTCATCTGCTGTGTGAATTGTGGCATTGCCAAAGCTGTATATATATCATCTATCCAGTTCATACTCTGTTTATTATGAATTATGACATGCCAAAGCCGTATAAAGCTGGGATTTCTAAAGTAAAAAAGACTATTGAAAAATATTAACATGGGGAAGGGTGGTCCAATTCAATGACATTCCATATATATTGAGAAATCGGGCAACACTGTTTTTCGGCTTATCAAGCTTATCAGCCAACTTTTTCACCAAACACATAATCTTTGCTTTCACGCGCTTAATTGTGTAATAAGCAGAAAAAGTAAGGTTGAAGTTGCTTTTCTGGCTGTATTAGCTGAAGTTACTGTAGATGACCATTTTAACTATTTTTACATATAATTTTTCTTTATTTTATTAATAAAATATATATTTTAAAATA